AATGGTGAAAGTTTGAAAGCTTTTCCTCCAAGGTAGGGAACAAGTCAAGTGTATCCACTCTCACCACTCCTATTCAACATAGTACCAGAAATGCTAGGCAGAGCAATTAGGCAAGAAAAAGAAATAAAATGCATCCAAATTGAAAAGGAGAAACTAATGCTGTATCTGTTTAGAGATGATATGATCTTATGTGTAGAAAATTCTAAAGACTCAACCAAAATACTTTTAGAATGAATAAACAAACTTACTAAATTTGAAGGATACAAAATCAACATACTTAAATCAGTTGCATTTCTGTACACTAACAATAAAACACCTGAAAAAGAAATTTAAAAATATCACATTCACAATAGCACAAAAAACAATAAAACACTTAGGTATAAATTTGACCAAAGAGGGGAAAGATCTGGAACATGGAAAGCTAAAAGACTTTCATGGGAGAAATTAAAGAAGAAACCAACAAATGGAAAGACATTTCATGTTCACAGATTGAAAGAAGTGATATTGTTAAAATGTCCATGCTACCCAAAGTAACCTATTATTTACTGTAATCTTTACAAAAATTCCAATGGCATTTTTCACAAAAATAGAAGAAATAATTCTAAAATAAATATGGAACAACAAAAGACCCTAAATAACCAAATCAATTCTGAGAAAGAAGAACAAAACTGGAGGTATCACACTTCATGATTTCAAACTATACCATACACTATAATCTAAATTGTATGGGACTGGCATTAAAATAGCCACACATCAATGGACCAGAATTAAGTGCCCAGAAATACAACCAGGAATGTATGGTCAACGAATATTTGACAAAGATAAGAATACTCAATGGAGAATCGATAATCTCTTTGATAAATGATGTATGGAAACTGGATAACCACATTCAGAAAAATGAAATTCCGCCCATATCTTACATCACTGTCAAAAATTAACCCAAAATGTATTAAAATCTTAAATGTTAAACCTGAAATCATAAAATTCCTAGAAGAAAACATAGGGAAAAACTCCTTGACATTAGTCTTGGAAAAAGTTTTTGGATACATCAAAAGCATAAGCAAAATAGCAAAAATCAACAAGTGGGACTATAGCAAACTAAAAAGCTTTTGCACAGCAAAAGAAACAATCAATAAAATGAAAAGTAAATCTACAGGGTGGGAGACAATATTTACAAACCATCTACCTGATAAATGGTTAATATCCAAAATATATAAAGAACTCGTATGACTCAATACCAATAAAAACAAATAATCTGATTAAAAAATAGCCAGAAGAATGGAATGGACATTTTTCCAAAGACATACAAGTGGCCAACAGGTACATGAAAAGGTGCTCAACATCACTAATCATCAGAGAAATGCAAATCAAAACCATAAGGAGGTATCATCTTATACTTAGAATAAATATGATCAAAAAGACAAGAGCTAAGAAGTTTTGGTTAAGATGTAGACAAAAGGGAATGCTTGTGCACTGTTGATGGGGATGTACATTGGTACAGCCACTATGGAAAACAGTAGGGAGGTTCCCCAAAAAATTAAATATCAAACTACCATATAATACAGCGATCCCGCTTCTGAATACATCCAAAGGATTAAAACAGGACCTCAAAGAGATTTCTGCAGTTTCATTTTCAGTGCAGCATTAGTCAAAATACCCAAGATATGGAAACAACCTAAATCTCTGTCAAATGATGAATAAATAGAAAAGAAAATACATTATGAGTGTATGTGTGCATATATACTTTTGTACATATATTTGATATATATGTAAATATACATACATCTTTCATATGCATATTCTTTTTATAATGTAAGTGCCTGACTTAAGCTTTGACTGCCAACACATCCATTTTAAAGAAGCATCCAGGGGCCACCCCACAGCTTAGTGGTTAAGTTTGCACGCTCCACTTCAGAAACCTGGGGTTTCGCCAGTTCGGATCTTAGGCATGGACATAGCACAGCTCATCAGGCCATGCTGAGGTGGCGTCCCACATAGCATAGCCAGAAGGACCTACAACTAGAATATACACCTACATACTGGGGGCTTTGGGAAGAGGAAGAAGAAAAGAAGGAAAAATAAAAGATTGGCAACAGATGTTAGCTCAGGTGTCAATCTTTAAGAAGAAAAAAAAAAGGCATCCACTTCAAGGCAGGCTATCTTAAATAAATATATTCCCAGCCATGTGAGTAGATAAAGAGCCAGGATGTGGGCCTCCACCCCACCCCATGAAGCTCCCTTTTTTAGAGATCCTGGTTGATTTAGATAACTGGCTATTTGAGGCTCTTGTTATTTTTCTTCTTTTTTTCTCTCTTCTCATTCTTTAAATTGCCTCTCTTATGTTCTGAATTTGCCAATGAACAGTGAGTTCTAGAGACCCTAGGTCTTCACCTTCGACCTCAATAAAACCCCCAGGCTCTCCCCAAACCCCTAAGACCTCAAGTCATAGAAGCTGAGAACTGAATGTTGGTTACCAGGGTACAGGGGTTATGGGAAATGGAAAGATGTTGGTCAAAGGGTACAAGGTTTCAGTTATGTAGAATGAATAAGTTCTAGAGATCTAATATATAGCATGAAAACTATAATTACAAATACCATATTGTATACTTGAATTTGCAAAGAGGGTAGATCTTAAATGTCATCACACACACACACACACACACACACACACAATGGAAACTAGGTAGAGACAATGGGTATGTTAATTAGTTTAATTGGGGTTATCTTTTCACATTATAGATATCTCAAAACATCAAGGTGTAAAAGTCAAATATATGCAATTTTTGTTGCCAAAAACTCTCAATAAAGCTGTTAACAAAAGTGTTAAAGTCAGCATTCAGATTCACGCAGTCTGACTTCAGAGATTATACTCTTAATCTTTACAGTCTATCACCTACCTTGATGCTAAAATGAGTGTAGTTTATGATCACTGCAACAACTTCTTAATATTTACGGTGTTTTCTGCCATTTACGAAGATATTTGAAATAAGACACAATACAGAATAGAGGTGTTTGTTACTGACTTGGAATCACACATAGAAGTGGTTTAAAACATTGGTTACCATACTTAGCAAAACAACCCCAAGGAATTTCTTTATTTCTCTCACCTTTAGATTTTTCATCCGTATATTTTCCATAGGAAAACATGACTTTGTACTATTTTTGTGAGACACGAACATGATAACCAGAAAGCTTTGGACATATATCAGACACTACTTGTTCCTAAAATAAAAGGAAAACTAGAATTCATAGTTTTTCTTTTAGATGAAGTGCTTTTTAGGGCTGGCAGTCACTTCAAAGGCATCTATTGGATGGATATGATATCCAGAAATTTAAAAAATTTTACTTCATTTTCCCAGTTTTAATTTGACTAAAAGTGCTTTTGAACCACTCAAACCCTTCCAATTTTTCTTCCCCTTTGTAGCTTTGACTTCTATTTTACAGTTTTGATGTTTTTCATTATATTTTAGTTTATTTCTTTTCTTCTATACCTCCTACCATCAATTATTCATCTAAGATGCAAATCACCATGAAAGCCTGTATAGTATGTGTGTGTGTGTGTGTGTGTGCATGTGTGTGTTTGCCAGTGCTGGTGTTATAGAGAAGTAAATTAGGTAAATTTATGATGAATCATAACATCTCCACTCAGAGTTAATTTAATGACACTCCTCATGCACGACATGCCACTATGGGACACCAGTGCAGACGCTGAGCTTCATAATGTTTTGGGAAGCAAAAAGAAGTGACAAAACTGAAAACTTGTGTTATTTTAAATGAATTTATTTTAAAATAATCTTTGACAGGAGAATAATATTAGTATTGGTAAGGTTTTCCATTTAAATAAGGAGAATCAGTATTAAAAATGAAACGGAATCTTGTAAGAGTTACTAAGATTGTCATACACTTTAGTATACTGAAATTGATAAATATTAAAAGTCCATGATATTACCCCCAGCATTCACATCCAAGGCACAGGTGTTAATCTGCTCTGCCCACTCTGGTCACCAACATTCTATTGGCAATTCTAACTTATGATTCTGTACTACCCCTGTATTGGGAAGCACACATAGAGAAAGAAAGCAGCTTCCTGCTGCAGTAATGGATTCTATCTCCACTAATTATAGACAAGAGTAGTATTTCTTTAATGTCAATGGTACTTTCTTTTGTTTCATTGACATAATCCCACTTTAAAAAATAATATACATTTCTTTTTCTTCAAACCGGGTTCTACTTCTATACACTTCATTCTCAGAGTATAGGTAGTATCTCTTGTGTATTTTTAATTTTCATTAAGTCCTGACAACATACATTATTTTACTTTCTTACCTCTTAGAATTGTAGGATTCTACTGTTGTAGCTCCTATATACAATCACACAAACAGCTGACTATCTCAAGGTCTCTGTCACATTACATTTATAAAATCCCATACATAAAACCCCAATTATCTTAACAAGCAAAGAAAACATTAAGAAAAACTATTTTAGAATATTATTATATAAAAAAATCCTTTGATTCAATAATATGCAACTTTTCAAGAAAAAATAATGAGGTAATGTAATGAACTTCTTGATACACAAAGTTCCTTTGCTCTGGAAGTGTTCAAGAAAAAACAGAATACTTTATCTGAGGTGCTAAAGAGGGAATTACTAATCATAGAAAACTAGCTACACTTTACTTATAGATGCCCACATGCTTGAACAGTTGTGATCGTGTAGTGTCTCTCTTCTTATTGAACCAGAGTATAGACAGTGTTGTGAAGTGTATTTCACCATCTGCAAAAGCAGAATTGAGCTCTCAGGTAGAGAAAGCGTCGGAAGAGAAAGAGGCTGAAGATAGGAGGGGAGCTACTATCTGAGGGCAGAAGCACAGAAAAAGGTAAGACAATCAGGCACATTTTATTAGATTGCATGGGGGAGTCAGGATGTACACTATCATATTTGATATCTGTACAGATTGAGTTGAACCATGACTCAATAAATAATCAACTGAGGCCCTCAATTCATTTTTTGGTTCCGGAGGTAATTTTGATATGCCATAATTTTCTCATTGCATTTTTCACTTGTGAATTCCTCAGTGTGTAGATGAGTGGGTTGAGAAAGGGTGTGCCAATAGTATAAAATACTGCTACCATCTTGTCCATGGGGAGAGTGGTTGGGGGGCGTGTATATATGAATATACATGGACCAAAAAATAAGATAACTACAATGATGTGGGAAGTGCAAGTGGAGAGAGCTTTGTTCCTCCCTTCTGCACTGTGATTTCTCAGTGAATGCAAAATAACAATGTATGAGGTCATCAGAATCACAAAACTACTTGAGCAAATAGCCCCACTGTTAGACACCAACAACAGGTTGATTAAATAAGTGTCCATGCATGCGAGTTTCAGCAAGGGCTGCAAATCACAGCAATAATGATCAATCAAATTGGGTCCACAGAAAGGCAATCTCAAGGCCAGGATAATCTGAGCTATAGAATGTATAAAAGACCCTATCCATGCAAGAACAATCAGGGTGATGCAGACCTGCGCGCTCATAATAGTTGGGTAATGTAAGGGCTTACAGATGGCTACATAGCGATCCATGGCCATGCGTATGAGGACAAAGATTTCCATGCAGCCAAATAAATGTAGTGCAAAGACTTGGGTCATGCACTCATTGTAAGATATGATTGTTGTGGCAGAGAGAGCATTCACAATTAGTCTTGGAGCCGTGGAAGTTGAAAAGCACGAATCAGCAAGGGACAAGTAAAATAGGAAGAAGTACATGGGGGTCTCAAGCGTCTGGTTGGACTTGATGGTCACAATAATAAGCAAATTCCCCACCACAGTTCCCACATAGAAAATGAAGAAGATTACAAACACCATTTTCTGCCTCACAGGATCTTGTGTCAATCCTAACAGTATGAAGTCAGTTACACTGTTATTTTCATTGTTTCAGTCGAAGCAGGCAAAATGTGGGGTAGAAATAGGTAATCTGCAAAGGAGAAAAATTATGAAATAAATACTACATTTGAAGGTCAAATACATGTACTGTATTGTGGAAGTGCCACTTATCCACGGGTGATCACCAACTTCTGTGTTGTTTTCTCTGAATAAAATAGAAATGAAAAGATTTATTCAATATGTTTACCTGACTGTTTATGAAAACAACAAAATATATAAATAATGAAAAATTAAATGATTCTTCAGGCATAATAAACATTGATTTAGGAGTTTTAGTATGAATGGATAACTTCTTGAGCTGAATGTCTTTCTTTAGTTTTCAGTGAAGACCTATTAGAAGCATGTTGAAAAAATAGAGAAAACTTGTGAATGATTTATTCTAATATGCTTTCACATTACATAAACCTGGTAGTCCAGTTATAAAATATCTTCTGGTAAATACTCTGAATATTCAAGGAATGATATCAAAACAAAACTTCCTTAATAAAACCCAAACACACACACACAGGTTGAGAGAGTGAGGGAGACTGAGATAAAAACAGACACAAATTTAGCAATGAACACCGGGTTAGTTGATCCAGGATCATGAGACTTATTTTAATTTTTTTCCTTGATGAAGTTTATTTCCTTTCACTTTACTTCTCAAACTTTTCCCATAGTTTACAGTCCTAAATTCAACTTCTATCATTAAAGTTTATACTTTTTAAATTATACTCTGTGTCCAAAGTTAAATTATTCCCATTATTCATTATTTTTCTGAGTCTTTCAACATATTTTATTAAGACATAAGGAGATACTGAGATGAAAACTAAGAAAAAATAGAGGGAGAATGTTTGCCATATATCAGAATGTTCTTTCAAATTTCTTGTAATGTTAAGCACCAGGGATTTAGAAAATGAGCTCAAGAAGCTCCAAGTCATAGCTGAAACTTTTCAATAAAATTTTTGGGATCTATATTCTTGAATTTCCCATACATTGACTTCAGTAAGAAAAGATATAAATAGAAGGGAATTAATACTCATTCATATATACCAAACGGTAGACGAATTCTTTTACGTTCCTCTCATGTATATTCTCCAGATAATAGCACAATGAAAAGCATAAGATAAGCACCAAACTGGTAAAATATATATATGACATATATGCCAGACAGAAGCATAATCTCGTCGATGGATAAAATCCATAGATGGATTTTAGAGATCAATTGTTACAAAGACAGCATAAGTGAGTAATGGACAATAAACTGATTTCAAAGAAAACCTTTCCTTCACAGCTAAATACATTCAAATTTAAATTCCAATTAGATATCTTTTTCACCTATCATATTAACAGTGATCTTTTTGCTAAGTGTCATTTAACAAATAGTACTGAAAATAATGTGGGAAACGATCAATCTCCACATTTTTGGTAGGAGTTTAAGTGGGTGCAATCTCTTAGGGAGTGATTTTCAACATCCATGATATTACAACTGCATATGGATGTAAGTCTAGCGGTTTCATTTACTGTGGAAAATCTCACTCACAGGCACAAAGACAATCTTTGCATCCTTTTCTATGGTAGCAAAAGACAGGACACAACTTCAATGGCCATCAGAAGGAAGCTGCATAAATCATGGAATGTTCTTTATGCAATTATGAATCAAAATGAACGATATAGATGACATTTTTTCTAAAATATGTTGTAAAGTGAAAGAGTTCAGAAGGCTGTGCTTAAGAATTTAATATACTCATTAACAGTAGAATAATATATATCACATACACATACACATATAAATTAATTGTATTTAGGAAAGTACCAAAATAGCATGACAATTGTGGTCTCTAGGTGGGGAAATTGCATTGTTAATGTCAGAGGTGGAAAGATGACCTGCCTTTTAATATATTCCCTTTGATAATATTTGAAAATGTCTTAATCACACTGCATTAAAAATAAAGCTTCTAAAATCTTTACCTTAGGAATGATTTGTTATTCACATTGGCATATTACGTAACAATAACCACTGCCTTGTGATTTATGCTGGAGGGACAGCAAAATTCTTAGATCACAGTAAGATCTAGGAGTTTGGGTAAGACAGTGAGTCAGCTATAGAGGCAGTTCTGGAACTCGGTACTCTTTACCACGTTACATAGCCCCAGAATGCCACTAACTACAGGTTCACTTGCAGTCTTAGAAGTTTTGCAAATATTCTCTTTGTCAAACTCTTTAGCAAACAAGTGAAAAGTTGTTTGCAGTTTCTAGCAATTAAGTATTATAAAATGATTATCTCTCTATAGTCTATCTATCTATCATCTATGTATCTAAGTCACAAGATAGAGATATAGACAGACTGACACGTTTATACAGCTCACAAAATTGATATATACGTATATACATATATATGTAAAAATTAGAGTGATAGATATGAGTGACATACGTTATAATGAAGCAACATAACGAAAGTAATTTTTATTTGTTCACTGCTGAATTTAAGCATCTAGCAGAAAATATGTATTTAATAACAAATATTTTTTGAAATAGTCAAAGAATTAAGAGAATTTCCTATAGATACAATTCAGTAGTGTTCAACCCTATTCTGTAAGCAAATATCATTGAGAAGGGAAGCCTACACCCTACTATATTCACAGCAAAGTCATCATCTCCTTGGAACATTTCCTGGAACACTCAAACAGGTATTATTTCCATTGGCTTCTCTCTCATACTCCTGTCTAAAAATAGCCCTTACCTAGGGTCCATTTCCATCATGAGCTGCCGTGCATGTCTTTTATTTCCATCTTCTCAGTTTAGATCATAAAACACTTCTGGAAAATTTCCTAAACATTTTACCCTTCCACAAGTGCCTTTTAAGTATGAGATGCACACTGCAGCATTCATCAGATTTATTTTCTCTAAATACTAAATATAACTAAGTTAATCTCCAATACAAATCTTACCAGTTTTGATAAGAGCTCATGTAGAAGTTAGGGTATTCAACTGCCCACTTTTCTTCCCAAGACATTAAGGGGACCCTTACCTAAAAGAGATTTAAAAAATGATTTTAATATTCTTCCTGATTATCTGGGATCAGGATTTCTTAGATCTCACAAAGAGGCTAGGTTCTCACCTGCATGCCAGAAGGCACAAGGGATGATCACAGCTTTATTTCATGCTTTGTGAAATCCACTCTCACACAAGATTTTGACTGGAAAATGCCTCTTTTGCCTTCCCTGTAGGAGTACTTAAACATGAATGATGCAAAATATAGGAGTGTGGGAAATGTCATTCCCTTAAGAGTCCCTTCCCTTCCAATTAAGAAATATGAGCCAGATGTAATAAAGAACTTAATCTTCAATTTGACTGTACTAATTTATCTTCTCACCAATAGTGCAGTTGGGTTCCCTTTTCTCTACATCTTCACCAGCATTTGTTATCTCTTGTCTTCTTCATGATAGCCATTCTAACAGGTGTGAGGTGATATCCTATTGTGATTTTGATTTACATTCCCCTGATGATTATTGATGTTGGACACTTTTTTTCCTGTTCTTGTTGGCTATTGGATGTCGTCCTTGAAAAAACTTCTGTTCAGTTCCTATATTTTGGATATTAACCCCTTATCAGATATAAGGTTTGTAAATATTTTCCCCCATCCCATAAGTTGTCTTTTCACTTTTTTGATTGTTTCTCTTCCTGTGAAGATTTTCAGTTTATTATAGTTCAACTTATTGATTTTTGCTTTTGATGTCATATACAAAAACTTTTTGCCAAGGAGATTTTGTCAAGGAGATTTTCCCTCTGTTTACTTCTAGAAGTTTTATGGTATCAGATCTTGTGTTTAAGTCTTTAATCCATTTCAAGTTAATTTTTGTGAGGAGTGTAAGATAGAGGTTCAATTTCATTTTTCTGCATGTTGTTATCCAGTTTTCCCAACATCATTTATTGAAGAGACTGTCTTTTCTCCATTGAGTATTCTTGGAGCCCTAAATGTGACACACCATACTAATAAAATGAATGCTAAAAATCATACAATTGTCTCAATAGACGCAGAAAAAGCATTAGACAAAATACAACATACTTTCATGATAAAAATACTTGATAAATTGGGTATAGAAGGAACATACTTCAACATAATAAAGGTTATATATGACAAACCCACAGCTAACATCATACTAAAATGTGAAAAGTTGAAACATTTTCCTCTAAGTCCTGGAATAATTCAAGGATATCCATGCTTACCACTCCTATTCAACATTGTACTGGAAATCCTAGCTAGAGTAATCAGGCATGATAAATAAAAGGCATTCAAATTGGAAAGAAGTAAAAATGTTTCTGTTTGCAGATGGTATGATCTTATATAGAGAAAATCCTAAAGACTCCACTGAAAAAAATGTCAGAATGAATCCACAAATTCAGTAAAGTTGCAGGATATAAAATCAACATACAGAAATCAGTTGTGTTTATGCACACTAAAACAGAACATCTAAAAAAGAAATAAAGAAAACAATCCTGCTCACAATAGCATCAAAAACAGTAAAATACTCAGAAATAAATTTAACCAATAAAATGAAATATCCATACAATGAATCCTAAACAACTTTGATGAAAGAAATCAAAGAAGATACAAACAAATGGAAGAACATTCCCTTTTCATGGATTGGAAGAGTTAATACTGTTAAATTGACTAGACTACTCAAAGCCATCTGTAGAATTCAACACAATCCTTATCAAAATTTCAGTGACATTTTTCACATAAATAGAACAAACAATACTAAAATTTATATACAATCACAAAAGACTTTGAATACCTAAAGTGTTACTGAGAATGAAAAACAAAGTCAGAAGCATCACACTTCCTAATTTCAAACTGTATTGTTACCAAACCTGAAGTGAGTTCACTCACCCGTTACACAGCAAGCCAATCTCTGACACCGGGTGTGGTGGAAGAAAGTGGGAATTTTATTTTTGCACAGTGCTGAGCAAGGAGAGAGGGCAGCTAACACTGAAATCCCAAACTC